CCTGGGCGGCCTCCACGGCTCTGGGGGGCAGGACGATCCGGGGGAAGGCGTACATGGCGCCCTGCAGAGGGTTGCAATGGATCCCCGGGACTTGGTTGAACAGGTCTTCTGTCAGCTTCGCTTTCTCGGCCAGGTTACTCAGGACGGACTCTTTCTCCTGACGGGACAGAGAGCGGGAGTCAGCACCGACGGCACCGCGTGGCTGCAGCCACCGGAAACGGCCCTTCCTCGCCAGGGCCGGGCAGACGTGAGGGCGAGCCCGCGTGCGTGAGCTGTAACAAAGAGGCCCCAAGGGTCCGAATGGCCCGGCTGCGTGGCTCCGTGGTTGAGCATCGACCTATGACCCCGGAGGTCAGGGTTTGATTCCTGGTCAGGGCACAGCCCGGGTTGTGGGCTCCATCCCCAGTGTGAGGCGTGCAGGAGGCAGCCGATCCATGATTCTCTATCATTGATGTTTCTGTCTCTCTCTCCCTCTCCCTTCCTCTCTGGAATCAATGAAAATATTTTTTTTTAAAGGGTCTGAATGGACCACTTTAAGCGCTGAGGATGTCTGCTGAGGCCAGAGGTAGGCCCCTGGCCTAGAATCACTGCTGTCCACCCACTCCCCTGGGAGTTTAGGAACAGAATCCCCGGGGCTCTCAGGACACAGTCCTTCTCTCTGGGTGCCCATCGTGGGGCCCACGGGGGAGGGAGAGGAAAGAGGTGGCCACCTCCACCCCAACACTCGCCTGACGCACCCTCAGGCTTCGCCTCCTGTGGGTGCTCCCCACGCTCGGAGGAACCACGCGTGTCCCCCGGATAACATGCCCTGAGCACCTGGGCCCTGGCGGGGGCAGGGGTGGAGACAGGCCCCGGGACCCGCACTCACCCTGAGGAACTGCTCGAAGGACTCCTCCCCGGGCACCGGGGGGTTCACCATGATGTCCATGGCGGCCTGCCCCGACACGGGCGGGCACAGGCGCACCGACAGCAGCTTCACCAGCTGGCCTTTGATCTCGGGGTGCAGGTTGATCACCTCCATGTAGCCTCCCCGGTAGCCACACCTGCAGGGAGGGGGGGCAGGAGACGCACTGAGTGCCGTCCACCAGCCGGAAGCTTCCGGGGCCGTCCCTGGAGCTCCAGCCAGGGGAACGCGACGGGAAGTGACATGGGCACATTCATGATTTCTGACGAGGAACAAGCACGCTCTCTCTCCCTGAGGTGGAGGCGCTGGGGCGGCAGCCTCAGAGCCAGAGCTGGACCCACCTGCCGGGAGGGCAGGGCCGTTCCCCCCGCCGCCTCTGCCCTGGGACTGTTATGTCACAGACACACGCTTTCATCTTGGTTGAGCCGCTGTATTTTGGGGCCTCTTTGTTACAGCAGCTGAGCCCCTGAACCCCCTAATACACTAGCCTCGTTCCAGAGGGGCCCGATTCAGGCCTGGCACCCCCTGCACAGGGGGAAGGTCATCCCCGGGGCATCGGCTTGAGGACCTTTGCTGGGCGTTTTGCTGCCTGAAAACAGAGTCAGCCCACAGGAGAGTGGCGCTGAGAGCAAGGGAGGAGGAAGGCAGCACAGCCCCCTGGTGCCTCCCGCCGGGCCAGCTCTCCTCCTGCTCGCGCTGAGGGACCAGGTTCTGTGACTTCGCGCTGAGCAGAGCCAGACGGCACAGGGTCGGGTCCTGTGCAGATACGCTGAGATGTGCGAGTTTAAAACAAACCACGGCCTTTTAGAACGAGGCCTGCCCATCAGGGCATCTTCTGGGGCCTGGCCGCCCCACCCCCTCGGGACCGACTGACAAATGCAGACTAGTGACCAGACAAATGCAGGCACCGAGGCAGGAACCGGGCCCCCTTCCCCACTGCACCCAAACCCTCCACCTCAGAGCCCGGCGTGACGACAGCCCGTCCAACGCTCAGAGTCCCTGGCGAAGACGCTTCCCCTCTGACCCCGGGACTGGACTCCCCACGTCCCAGCAAGGTTTCCTTCCATCTGCCCTCAGGCCTGGCCTGGCTGCAGACACACCCCACACCGGGCTGCCCCCCAACCAGGCTGTCCCCCGACCAGGCTGTCCCCCGACCAGGCTGCC